GCAGAAATATGAATCAATTCCAACGAAAAATATTCGAAATATGAATTGAATTATCCTTGTATCTATGATCAATTGTGGATTTCCGATGGTGGATGTGGACTTAGACCTAGGTTAGTCTTTTAATTGTTTTAGTTAATTTAATTGGCATTGTTATTAATTTAGTTATTTACAATTGTTTGAATACAAAGTCCCCCCCAATCATTATACGAAGCATAAATATTGAATTACACACTCTTCGTGGGATCGACCCTTACTTCCATTACTATATTAGTTTTAAAGGTTTAAAGACTATTTTTGGGTGCATACGACAGCATACCAAATATTATTTTATTAGAGAATATGTGGTTGATAAGAGGAAAGTGGAAAATTAATTATAATTTTAATGGGGGGCCAAACGGGAGCTTACACTACTAATTCAAGAGCTTTATTTTTTGAAATACGCGTGGGATCATAGGTAGTAGGGGATATATTTTTTAAATATAGCCCATGTTTGGTGCACATTTTGGGAGTAAAAATACATTTTTATTGTTAATGTGATGAGAAATATGTGGTTGAAAAAGAAGGAAAAATTTTTAATGTGAAAAAAATATTATTTTACTGAAAATATGTGGTTGAAAATGAGTAGAATAATGAGAATGAGAAAAATAATGTATCTCAAACAAGGCCATAGTAATTTTGACCTAAGATCATGCTACATGTACAAATTTCTTTCGTATAATTGTTTCACAGATAACAAATGGCAAAATATCATTGAAAGGGGGAAAAAGTAAAAAGTAAAAACAGACGACGTGGCAGCAGTACAGCACCCTGTAGGAAACTTGTGAAACTTTCTCTGTACCTAGAGAATAACCCACATTTTGTTTATAGTTTGGTACATTATTATGTATTTATGTACTAAGGGTTGATTTGGTATCTCTATGATTTTAAGGTAATAGAGTTAGCAAAATAAACATAATTTAACAAAATAAATTTACATATGATTTCATTTCACCCATATAATACAGTTTTGAAACATCGAAAGAGTATGAACAAATAAAGAAAATTTCAACAAGATCTTATATATTGTTCGATGATACCTCGGTGATCCATACTGAACTGTTTTGATAGGCCAAAGTAAATTAATAGAATGGACCATGCTAACATTACAATCGATGTTGTACACATTCCAAGTCCAATGGGATGATAAGATGTATTCAGCAGCCACAACTGTAGCGTGGAAGCAAGAAATAATATGTAATCCTGTTTGGATAAGTTTCATTTGACAAAATATAGTTACTATTGGATTCTGGTTAATTACTATTTGCCTTTATACTCTGAATAGGCCGAGCTAGAGAGGAAAAGAAAAATAGCAAGTGAGAGAACCTGGATATTGCAAATGCTGTCAACATGTGGCAACTTGAGTTCTCAGTTTTGACAATGATTCTCGCAGTTTGATTTATGATCAATGTTTTTGTTCTTTTGCACAGTACTTTGAGGAAGCAAGAACGTAAGTGTGGGTTTGAAACAAGTCACACCAAGCTAACAAGAAATTAAGGGAATTTAGAAGAACCTTTAGTTGCCATTATTGAAGCAATTTTTTTTGTATCCGCATAGCTGAGATGGACGGCCTGCTTAATGCGATTTTCTAGATCCTTGAAGAACTTGAGTTTGTAGAATGACTTGGACGTTCTGCATTACTTATTTTTGATACATGTTTGTAGTTTTCAATGATTGAGTCGTAGTATAGCAAGTCTTCTAGCTATAGTTAAAAAGTCATTGGGTTTTCTGTAATGTTGGGGTGTTTCAATATGGTGCAATAGTATCGTTGAAAAAATATTTGGACCCTGTCTAGGCGTGATTGTGGAGAATTCAAAATCAATTTTCCTGTCATTTCAGCCAGGCCCACGTGATGTAGTCTCTGTCCTTCAACGCAAAGCAACATGTCCAAAAGTCATATTTACCCTCTAATTATTGCAACACGTGGGCTGAAAATTCAAATGGAAGGGCATAAAGGGAAAAAGTGTCTGACATTGAATTCAGTCCATTTGGTGAAAAATTGAACGTTGCACTCATCAACGGTCCAAAAATCACTTATTGCCAAAATTTAAGTGCGCCCAAACAGGGGTTTGGTTTTCTGTAAATAAAAGCTACCAGCAATTACCAACATCTTGTTTTATGTAAATAAAAACGATTTGGAAAACTATTTGTGTTCCAGTAGCAGTTACCAGCACCTTGTTTTCAATGCGTGTTGTAGGAATGCCATACATGGAGACACAATAACTATGTGTGTGACTTGTTTAAGAGACTAAAGCACAGTCTACATATTTTCTTGCAATACAACACAACGTTACTGAAGAATCCGTGAAATTATTTACAATAATTATTCCAATATTGTTACCTGCAATTGTTCATACGGAGAGGAAATAATGATTCATGTATCAACTTCACATATGTGGAAATAATTGAAAGTCAACATTTATCATACAACTAATGGCAGGCTAGATTGTCATAAAAAGAATTGAGAGGGCTACAGTTCTTATATATATGCCAGACACACAAATGCACTATTCATTACATACATTTATGATATATGTCCAAAAATGTACTATTTTTTTTTCAGAATCCTGTTTTAAGAAATAATTTCCCAAAGAAAAGATACATGAAAATAAAAGATCGACGACTATTTACACCAAAACAGGCCGGAATATTTTCTGAACTACTTTTGCCTTTCCTTTGTCTTATAAACAAAATATTCATCATCATTTCCTTCTATAGCCAGTAATTTGCAATCAATTAGTACGTTCACCAATCAAAGATCAGCTCGTTCAATTTGTCAACCAAGGATGTTGAATTGATACATATTCATTCTTGGTTTCAAGAAAACTTTGTAGAGCACCATCCCTGGGCTCATTTGGTGCTTCTTCCAAAACTGTGGTTTGCTCATTTGATGATGATGTTTCCCACGGAAGAGATTCTTGTGGTGATGCAAATTTGATGGCAACATTTTTCATTTCTTCTCATGCTGCCATGGGTGAAAATTATCGTTCCCTTGTCAAGAAATCGTGCTGGGCTTCATGAATTTACAGTACTAATTTAAGTCTTCTAAATCTTTAGCAACAATTAATCCTTTTTCACCTACAATGGGGCTGCAATAATGTAAAGCACAAATTCTGTTAGAAAATAGATGTTAACACTAGCCAGTAGGTTTCTACTT